ACTACTTATATATATATATATATATATATATATATATATATTCCTCTTCAATCATTTGTAAAAGGTTTCCATTACTCTCTTCAAATTAAAAACCAAAACCAAATTTCAACACAGAATAGTAACTCTTAATTATCCATTTTAAAATACTGGCTTAGAAAAAATCAATTACAAGCTAAACTTTTACAAAACACCAGTTTAATAAGCCTGTTTAACACCCAAGCACCTAGGAGAATACAACTATGGCTTTAGTTTTAATGCAGCAACAAAGCATCATTTCATGTAGAAGAAAACAGTTAAATTTAAAGCCATAACACACACTAAATTTTGCAGTTTGTGGCTCTACAATTTCAGAAACATATATGAAACAAAGTTGTTATCATTTGGGTTTATAACAAGTTAGGTGAAGAAAGGAATGAATTTTATATTTCTTACTTTTCAATTCCTGACACAGAAATGCATATAATAGTATAAACATGCACACTTCATTGATATCTTGTTTCTAACTTATTATGATATTAAGTGGAAAAAGTTCTTATCTTCGAAAAAAAATTTACTGAAGTTTTGACTGTGCACAGTTTCACCTAATGAGCCACTTTTAAATTCTATGCTTTTATCAGTTTGTCAAAGGAAACTGATAACTTTTCCATAAGTTCAAACAATGACAAACATTACGTTATGAAAGAGAATTTAAACACAATAAAAGTTAATGAAATTTGGTTCCTTGATTAACATTTCCTAAACATGAAACAAAAAAAAACCATTAGATGAATATTTTATTAAGCTGTTGTAAAAATTCAGAATTAACTTCTTAATTAAATGGTTAATTAAATCTTCAGAATTAAATGGTTAATTCTACAGGCTAAGAATTGATAAATTTTACATCACAAAAGTTTACTAGCTAGTGAAAACGTAAAATAATCAGTGTAAAAAAATATGTTATTTGATTCTCAGGTTTACATAAAATCACTTATTTCTAAACAACTGTTCTCACAAACGATTAAATGAAGATAAAGGGTTGGAAGAACTGCTACATAAGATTAAATAAAGATAAAGGGTTGGAAGAACTGCTACATAAGATTAAATGAAGATAAAGGGTTGGAAGAACTGCTACATAAGATTAAATGAAGATAAAGGATTGGAAGAACCTATAAAGTATTAAATGAAGATAAAGGATTGGAAGAACCTATAAAGTATTAAATGAAGATAAAGGGTTGGAAGAACCTATAAAGTATTAAATGAAGATAAAGGATTGGAAGAACCTATAAAGTATTAAATGAAGATAAAGGATTGGAAGAACCTATAAAGTATTAATTGAAGATA